CTGACAGCCTGGCTGCCATGGCAGGATGTGTGTGTGTGTATGTGTGTGTGTGTGTGTGTGTGTATGTGTGTGTGTATGTGTTCCGTGACCGTTTGGATGAGTCATTGTTATGCCCCCGCTGCTATTTTCCCCAGAGGACCCTCTAGTGTCTGACTGGTGGTTTCAGTGTGTATCAGTGTGTGTCTGTGTGTCTTTGTGGTTTTTGTCTGGCTGTGTGTTCAGACCCTATTAACAGCTGGCCTCTTACTCACACAGTAAACAAACACGTTGAACCATCAAAATTTTTAGTGATCTAGTCTCTAGTAGTGTTGCACCATGCCTCTGCAACACATTCAAATATGCAATGTGCTGAAACGGTCACACTCTTCGTCTGCTGTGTGCTTGTATCTGTAACACAGCAATCTGCTTTAATTCATGGGAAGGATTTACATTAAAGAACAACACCTTTGGCAAATTGTCTCATTGTATTGCAAATCACATTGCTTTAAACTTAATGTTTCAGCCTACTTCACATCGCGTGTATAAATGACTACATTCTGGATGTGACTCTCAGACACCATTCTTCAATCATGGCTGCCACAGACCCAGCATTATGAAGCAGCTGTACCCTCCAGTGCCTCTCAGCAGCACATGCATTTGGCTGAAATATTCAGCCCAGCTCCCAGCATTACCTTGCATGTATAATTACCGGATATGCTGCCTGCCGCTGATAACTCTCCCAAACAATGTTTGAAGGGGGAAGGCGGCGATGAATTCCCAATGAAGTGTGAAAAAGACTGATTAAAATTGCCGTGGTCAAAAGCCAGCGCACCAGTGTGTTCTGCTCTCGCGGACCAGGGGAGATGGGAAGACAGGCTCTGCAGTGGAGATAGCTAGCTTTTTTTTCTATGCTGTGCTTGGGAGTGATTTTTGGTTTCTATTTTGGTCCACAGTGGAAATTATATTGGCATATATTTTTATATTTTTGTGTTTTGGCTGAGCTTGTCATAATAATAAAAAACACATTTGCTGCAATTCTTGAACAGTTCCATTCAGGTTCCATTGGTTGTACTGCTTAAATTCTCATAGTGTGAGAGGTTCACAGGTTCATGTGAACCTGATTATGTATTTAAACGAACAACAGAAAGGTAACAAAAAAGTACTAAAAATCAGTATCAAAGTGAATCATTCATTGTTGTTTGTTCTTGCATCCCTGTAACATGACCACTCATTATTGTGATTGTGTATAGGCTCTGCAATCGTATATGTTAATTATTTATGCATGATTACATGTATTATATTAATTTTGTTTTTGTGTGTTTTTGCACATAGTGTCAGCGAGTTTTTCTCCCATTGTGTGCTTAAAAATGTATACTGTATTTACTGTATGTGTGTGTGTATGTGCACCTGAGTTTGGTTGTGTACTAGAGCCCAGGCGCCCGAGAGCCTATTTGCAGAGGGGAGGGAAGGCTGGATGGCGTCTCAGTCGAGGCGTGTGGGCGTCAAGCTCAGGGCACCTAATTACAGCCCCGGCTCCTGCAGCCTGCCTGCGTCTCCCTCAGCCCCCATGTTTGGGTGCATCTTCCCTGGCAGAGTCAGATGATACGCTCCCCTTGTCTCTGAAGCTTTGGTCTCAGGAGGGCTCCACCTTAGCACAAAGCACGGCTGTGTCTGATTAGCTGGTTTAAATGAGATCCCTAGCTAGCTGGCTATATTGTCATTCTCTTTGTTGACAGTTATGAGATAGGCTGCCAGACAGCCTCCCAACATGTTTAGCTCTTTAGCTTGATCAGGAGATTTCTATATCATGTCTAACAAACAAATCTGTAGGGACCTCATTTGGGCTACTCTGGATGAGAAATTAGTTAGCCAGCTAGCTAGCCATGTACCTCTGGCTTAACAAGCTCTGACTAACATGGGGCCTTTTTTAATGTTTCTTCCATTCTTCTCTTGTACACTGATGTACAGTTCAATAATTGGTGGTTATTAGTGAGCCTGCTGGAAGAGGAGCTGGGTAGTTGGTTAACCCCTTCCTCTCCAAAAGGACAGCAGTTGTCTTTCATCTCATTTCAGAGGATTAAAAGGCAGAGAGATGGCAAGAGAGAGTAGGAGAGAGAGAGACAGAGATGGATGCCTATAGTGGGGGTTGGTTATTATTATTTTTTTGCCAACAGCAGATGCCAGGCACAGTGGTTTCAACCGGGCACACTTTAAAACACAACACAGCTGCCTTCTCTGCATCTGGGCACTGGATAGAAAGAGGAGGGAGGAGGGGAGATAGAGGAGAGAACAGAGTAGAACAAGAAAAAAGACAAGGAATAGGAATGAGAGAGAGCAGGAGACAGGCTGTGTAGGGAGAAACAGAGGGAACATGAGGGAAGAAGAAGGAGGAGAGAGAGAAGGAAACAAAGGCTGACACAGATAACATCTATCAGCACGGCACAAACATGGGCCGGGTTTGCCATTATAAATGGAGAGATACCCACATCCCCCTCCCAACTCATCCCCAGTTTAGCATTCTCTTCCAAAAACTGGGAACCACTAACTGGGCCAATCCACAACAGGGATTAGCTATCTAGCTGCAGAGGCATTTAAATGTGCTCATAGCAAACTCTGCGCTTTATGTGGGAGGGACTGTAAACACAAACGCATACTGAGGTGTCTAAGAAAAAAGAAAGAAATACACGATTTACTCTGTTTTTACTGTGTTTAATCTTTCATAGAATTTAAAAAAATATAAAATAGGGAAGACATGTTACAAAGAGAATTGAATTTTTAGATTTAATTCATGAAACAACTGTTAACAACAGGACACTGCACAGAAAGAATAATAAATGTAGAGAAATGTACCAAAAATTCACCAAGGATAAGAAATACACAGGATTAGATTATGAGAAAAATGATAAATATATCAAGATGAATGCAATGTATAACACATTAGAAAGATAGAAAACTGTGGAGATCTGTTGTTGAAAATGTTGACCATACATACTATATTCAGTTTAATGAATATACTGTATACGGCTCTCAATGCCCAAGGGAAGTGGTGAATCGTTCTTTGAAAGCTGCCTATTGAGCTGTGTGATATGCAAAATAGACATAGATTGAAATTTCTTTTCTTTCTAGCTCTCCACCTGTGGACAGTGGTGCAAGGCAAAAGTCAGCACCGCTGAAAAGGGAATTACACACTTTTATTATTTTACAATATGTATAATTTCAAAGACCCTTGCACCACAGCATGCTTGTTTCTCTCGATAGGTCTCTCCTTCCCCCTCTCCCTCTCCCCTTTTCTTTTGTTCTACCTCTATTAGAGTTGTCCTTGACTGCCGAGTGAGCGCACAGTGCAGCCTTTGGTTGAGAGGAGCCAGTCAAACGCTCTCTCGCTCTCCTGTTGAGACAAGAATAGGAGAGGACATGGGGGAGAGAGGGAGAGAGAGACAGAAAGGATAGTGAGAAAAGAGAGGAGAGAGCCTTTTTATAATTCAGCAAAATTCTTCCCAAAGCCACGAAGAGCTGTGAATGAGACAGGACGAGTATTAGCAGGAAGTTGGCCTGATGACTAAGCGTCTGAAGACAGGGGAGAGCTCCAGGCATCTTGTTTGGAAATACAGTGAATGAATAGACATTGTCTGCCAAGAAAGAAAGCCTCAGAAATTGTGGTGCATAATTCCTTGAGATGTAGAGCTTTTGGTCCTGGAAAACCTGCTCCTCATTGGGGAATGGCAAGGTGGCATCGATTATAGCAAACGTGAATACAATATTAATATAGAAATAGTTACTGCAAAAGCTTCTGGTTACAGTGTGGTAGCTTCACAATCAAATATGAACATCATAAGAATAAGAATAATAATCCGCTTGTGGAGTTTTGTTAACACAAGGATGTTTCAAAATGTTGGCTGGGTGCTGAAAGGTCATGTAGTGTCAAAGTGAGGAATCTGAAGAGATGAGATTTAGGCTCCATTCATAACACCAATCCTTTTTCCTGTCATGTCAGTAAATCTTTCTGAAATTGAAGTGAGTACCAGCTACTATCGAATGGGGTTAGGGGTTCATGTTTGCCATTTTATAAAGCACCTTGACACAGACAGACATACAGTAAGACAGGCAAGTAAACATATAATAGACAGATGGACAGGCAGACAGGTAAACAGGCAGATAGACGAGCAGGCAAACAAATGAAGACACAAACAGATGACGAATAGACAGGCAGATAGTCGGGCAGATTGGCAGAGCGGTTGACAGCCTGGCCGCTTTCCGCCAGAGAGGTATTGGCTAGAAAGAGTGGCTGGCAGGCAGACAGGCAGATGGACAGGCAGGCACCCATGCACACAGACAGACACAGACACAAAAGCAGACAGACAGGAGGACTGGGGGAATAATAGATGGAGAGACCGACTGGAAGACAGACAGGCATGCAGAGCAGCAGACAGAAAGGCAGGCAGAGAGGTTGCCAGACAGACATGCACCATTGGTAGCAGGACAGGCGGTTGGCGTAGGAAGGAGACATGGGGACAGCAAGTGCCTCTGGCATGGAGGGAGAGTGAGATAGAGGGAGACAGAAATAGAGGGAGAGAGAGAGTGAGGGATGAGGTCAGTGCACGGCTGGCTGGCTGACTGTTGATCTGTGGCACTGGGCTGGCAGAAGAGGCTCCTCAGGGAGAGAGCAGCTCAACACAGCCTCCGTCTACATCCCTGCAGCTCTCCACCCATATCTGCCTCCCTCCAGCCCCCAGCTGGGATGGAAAGACAAGCCTGTGAGGGGAGAGACTTTTAGAAAACAGTGTCACAGACAGGTTAAAGAAGGCAAACGTGTACAAAATTAGGAGTCAGTGACAAATGTCATTCAGTAATAGATGGAAGAATGAATACAGGAATGACAGCAGCTAGCTCAGGATTATGGGGCAGGGGTGCTCTGTAGGAACATGATCTCGTCTCCTCTGCTCCATAACAAACACTTGAAGGACATTCTGACAGGACTTGGTGCCACATGGGGCTCTACATGTACCCCAGGCTTTTAGAAAGGGGGACATGTGATATTCATTGTGCCTCTTGTCTGATGATAATATGAAAATACAGACTGTACATTGTGCCATAATTCTACTGATCTGCTCAAGTATTTAAACATTTCTGCATAACAGGTTCAGTCAACAGTCAACTTCTAAAATGATCTATCCACAGTATGTTATATTTATATATTCACTTTTATTATACTGTACATTTAAAGCCTTTAGCTGCCACTCTTATCTAGAGCAACTTACAGTGACATTTTCAACATCAGCTTGAGCTTTCCAGATCACCAACATTATTAACACATAGTGCCTAACCAATAAAATACAGTATTCAGAGCCAGATTAGGCAGACATTTCTATTTCTGTAATTATCATATATTACAGAGAATTGCAGAGAAAGTAAAAATAAACTAAAATGACAACATTTATTTTTCAAAAAAGAGCTAAGCATAGCTGTTACTGGTATGTGTCATATAATATTTCCTCATCATATTTCCAGCCCAGCCCAGTGAAAATACATTGCACAGTGTTGGAAATGCTTAAATGCCTGAGGAAAAGTCTCTGGTTTGCTAAAAAGCCTGCGGAGGTAATTTTAGGACACAGACGAAATATTAGAATATTATGGTCGTTTTGACTTACCCTGTGTTTGGACAGTTGAAATATTGGATCAGTATGTCGATATGTGATTTGAGGTGCTGAGGATGTTTTTTTATGGCTCTCTCTCTCGGCTAGAGTTACACAAGGTTAATGTTACAGCCGTGTGTGGGAGTGTGAATGTGTGTGTGTGTGTGTGTGTTTTGTGTGTGTATGCATGTGTGCATTTTGCTGCAGGGTGCAAAGCTGCTCCAAATGTCCATCTGCCGAGTTCACAATCCACCTGAGCCCACTCACACATGCACATGAGCACCCTCTCACACACAAACACAGGCAATTGCACCCATGCTCCCATACACACATTCACACAGGCACAGGCACAGGCAGAAATGTAACCTATCCCAGAACCTCAAACATTCAGTGCATACCTGGACAGCCACCCTGAGTGTTTTCCTTGTTTCAGCTTTATTCAGACCTATATTCATTCTCACAGCCATTTGCATAAAAACATCCCACCTTTTCTCAAGCTGTCACCTTGATGTAGCTGCAATGCACAGTGTGATATCAACATAACAAGTTTTCTGACAAAAATCCAGAAATGCACATATACATATTTCACAACAGGTGTTAAGAGAAGTAAGTGGGGGGGGGGATGCAATGGAAGAGCCCAAACACTCACAAAAAGACAAAACAGCCACATAGAAACACATATACACACAGTTCGTGTTTGCAGATGATTGTTTTTTCAGCTTGTATTTCAGTGTGGGCATGTGTGCTTGGCACACTGAGTGCCAAGCTGATAATTATTGAAACGAGCTTGTGACTCGCTGTCGCTGGTACGACTCTGGCAAGATCTCGGAATCAAATTAATTTACAAGCACCACATTAAGCACCTGTTTCTTTTCTGAGGATTTGGTATATGTTTTTCAGTGACACTAGTTCTAGTTCAGTCACTATATTCTCTTACAGTAATTGGGATAAAGAGTGTGAGCTGTTATGTCCAAATAAATGCTGCTTTTATGGGTGCTGTTCATTGTTTCAGTACAGAGGCAGCCAATATCAGCTCTAAGGTAGCCAAACAGGTGCCATGCAGCTGACATTTTATAGGTCTGTGATAATGTGCAGGTGATTTTTGGTACAAATGTATTTAGCCATTATTATTCAAATTTGTATTCTTTGAAATTGAGAAGATATGGTAGTTTAAATGGTCCCTTAAAGACTAATTTAGCTGCTAATAGCCATAAACAGTTTTTTGTACTGTGACATGATAATGTCTTCAGTGAATGGAAATTGTAGTACAATGTACATTTTACTGAATTATAAAATCTCACCTGCCAACTTGAATTACTGTTAAAAACTTGGCTACTTTTATGAAAGGAATAGGGCTGAGTATTAACAACAAGTTTCTGGTACTATAGGGAGTAAGAGAGAGATGACAGAGAGATACGACAAAGACCACAGGCTGGAATAAACCGTATCTACACACTGTTATAATGCAGCCAAAATTGTTTAAAGGACCAGTGTTTAGGATTTAGTGGCATCTCTGTTGTGTGTGTGTAGGAGAAACTGCAGCTGCAAAAACCGTAAAAATCCCTGTCTACAGACGGCATTACGTTTGTCCATTCTGGGTCACTGTAAAAACATGGCAATTAAAAATGGTAGATTCTGATTTTATAAAATAAAATATTATATTCTGTTTCCCCCCCAAAAAAACATTTTGGAAATCTATTAAATATAAAAAAAAAATCACATTGACATAAGTATTGAGACACTGACGGAGCTTCTGAAATCCTGTGTGGAGAATCTTCCAGAACCCTCACTGCAACACTCCACTGATCTGGCCTTTTAGGTAGAGTGCCCAGAGAGAAACAATGAAAGACGTATGAAAGTCTACTTAGAGTTTGCAAAAAAGCACCTGAAGGATCTCAGATTGTGAGAAACAAGATTCTCAGGTCTGACGAAACCAAGATTGAACTGTTGGCCTCAATCCTGGAGAGAACCAGGCACTGCTCATCACCTGCCCAATACAATCCCAACAGTGAAACATGGTGGTGGCAGCATCATGCTATGGGGGTATGTTTCAGTGAGAGGTACTGGGGGACTGAACAGGGTCAAGGGAGAGCTGAACAGAGCAAGGGACAGAGATGTCTTTACTGAAAACCTGGTCCAGAGCACTCAGGAAGGTTCATCAATTCAATTCAATTCAAT